TTCCCACTTGGCAGGGGCGTGTTTATGCACTGACACAAGTTTCTTCAGCTCTGGATCAACATTGCTAACGAGCTCATCTTACAAACCACAAAGCACGGCCTGCCTGGGGGGATACAAACAAAAGGCCCAGAAGTGGAGACTCCTCAGCTGCTTTCTCTACTTGCTACCAAGTTGTCTGGAAATGTAAATCAGCGTTCGAAGTGATTGCCTTGTAAGTATAGCACGATCCTAACTTTGTAAACAACAACAAAATCCAAACAGCCCAAGCAAGGCTAGGAGCACAGGCTTTCAAGCCAGAATGCCTAGGACCGAACCCTGGTTCTAATATTGTAGTAGGCTGAACACCAGCCCCACCACAAAAAAAGATATCCCCACTAGGAACCTGTGAATGGAACCTGACTTGGAGAAAGGATCTCTGCAGACGTAATTAAGTTAAGGATCTTGAGATGAGATCATGCTGGATGAGGGTAAGCCCCAAATCCAATGATAAGTGTCCTTATAAAAGAGAAGACAACACAGGGAGAAGTGATGTGAGCACAGAGGCAGAGGTTGGAGGGAAGTGTCTACGAACCGAGGAACACCGAGGATCGCCAGCAGCTGGGACAGAGGCACAGATTTTCCCTCACAGCCTCCAGAACGAACCAACCTGCCAACACCTCGATTTTAGGCTTTGGCCACCCGAACCATGAGAGAATAGCTCTCTGTTGTTTTAAGTCACTCAGTTTGTGGCGATTTGTTGTGGCAGCCCCAGGACACTAATGCAAATACCCGCCCTGGGCACGTTGCTTATCATCTTCATGCCTCAGTCTCCTCAGGGATGAGAAATAGGGATCTTAACAATCCTCATTACATAGGATTGTCGTGAGGATCAATGAGTTAATGTACACAGAGTGCTTAGAACTGTGTTTGGCACAACTGTATTTTTGGAACAATATATATTATTACTATCGTCACCATCATCATCATCATCATGAATATACATATAAAGGCATTGGGAAGCATCCGGGCAATATCTCTGGGTATTGGGATCAAAAATAATACTTTTTAATTGTGCTTCTCTGTTTTATACAAGTTACGTGCAAGGGGCATATATGAGTTTTGTGACTGGAAGGCATTTATTAATTTGAGATGATCATTTATCTACAGTGACACAGGCTGCATACCTGGCAGCTCATCACCGCCAGGGCACTGTGTCATGCTCTGCAGTGACGGAATATTTAACCAGCACACACACTGGCAGGCATCTCACAGCTCTGGGGAAACAGCAATCTGATTATTAATACCTGAGAACTACAATGCATGAATGCTACAGGTGACCTACTCTTTTGGAAGTTGAGACACTCTGAAAAATTGCTTCCTGTTGCTGAGCACAAGGAAACCTGATTTCCTGGTGTGTGTTTCCCTCCCCATGCTAATAGCGCCTCCACAGCCCCAGCAGGGAACTTCCAGATCTCCATCACACTCTCTCTGTGCTCAGTTTGTAAGCCGTCTCCTATTCAGACACCCAGCTATTTTCACTATAAGCAACACACAGCACTTTACTTTCACTGACCCATATCTCTGTTTTTGCAATGAAGTACTAAGCCCGACTGACCACCCTTGAGTCAAGAATTACTAAGGATGAGAATGTATCGTGACATAAAGCGAGAACAGTCACAGGGACGCAGAGCAGGACTGCTGGTGGCATTCACGACGACAAAGGGCCCTGGAACTCCCTGGCTCCTCAGGGAGGAGAGCACGGGAAGCATTTCAGTCTCCTGGCCCAGTCACAGGCAGGTGGGTGGCAAGCACTTTTTAATAATCACTGTGAATTTGCAAAATACACCATCTGCAAATTAGTGTTATCAGCGGCTCCTTACTGTTACACGAAGTACATTGTATTTTAGCTCAGCGGAAACCCAGGGGCTGCCAAGTTAATGTTCTTATTCAAGATCCCCCTCAGAGCGAGCTGCACACTGGGGCTTCTAGCCCTCCCCTGCCCCGGGTAGGTGAAGGCGGTTAGCCCAATCCTCTTTTAAACTTCAGGGGAGGGGCTGGCAGTTGTTTCTTTGTCAGGCACGGTCACAAGGCATGTGCTGGGAGTCTGGGGTGAAAAATGCACCTACGGATGTGCCCCTGAGGCAGGTCCCCCAGCATTACTCCCGCATCTTGTTTTGTTTGCTTTTTCAGAGATGGGCTCTTGCTATGTTTGTCACCCAGGCTGGAGTGCAGTGGCTATTCACAGGCACCATCGTGGCACACTACAGCCTCGAACTTCTGGGCTCAGGTGATCTTCCCGCCTCAGCCTCCAGAGGGGCTGGGACTACAGGTGCGTGCCACCATGCCCAGCACGCATTTTGAGCACCCCCCACCCCCTGACTTCTTCTTAAGCCCCCGGCACCATCCATGTGCTCCCCTTCCTGACTGCCACACCCATTCTTCCAACGTGGACTTTCTCTTTCTGACTCAGGTCACCGAAGACTAGGATTAGTTCCATACCTTTCCCTCTCCCGCCTGTGCCCAAGTGGATTTTTATCTAGTGATTTCGCTCCAAGTATCTACAAGCAGAATAGAAGATATAAGAACGAGAAAGGAAGGCAGGAGAAGGGGGAGAGGGTGAGTGAGCGAGAGGATGCTCAAGTCACTCCTAAAACCCTGAGCAGCACTCAGGAAGGAGGCCTGGTGCTCTCCTGCATCTTCCCTGCCCCATGCTCCCATTTCATCCCCGAAGAGTTGGCCTTGTCCCTCTCTGTGTCCTCCAGCATCCTCCCATGTCCTCTCTGAACTCCCTGGGCCCTGCACCACGTCCCTGCCCCTCTTCCCTTTGGTAGAGAGACTCTGCAGACCCAAACTCAATCCCCAAAGGTTCGACGACATTCATTCCATCTCAGGAGAAAGTTCCACCTGTCCAGCCATCCCTGACTCCTCCTCCTGGTCTGCCCAACTCCGCCCTTCCCTGCTCCCTCTCCTTCTTGGTTCCCCTTTCTCCTTCGCCTTCTAAATGTGGATGTTTCCAAGCAATCTCTTCATTTCTCACTTGTCTCCCAAGCTTCCTCTAGAGCCTTTTGCTAAGCCTGACTCTCAAATCTTCATCTCTAGACTTCACTTCTCCCCTGACCCCGTACCCGCCCTCTATTTCTAGCCACCTTCTGGATATTTCTATGACTGTGTCCAAAAGCAATTAAATAAATATTTACAAGCACTGAATTCACTTTCCTTTCCTTGAATGTGCCTCATGCCTCCCCGATTGCCAACATTTGCTAAAGCATCGCCATCCTCCTAATGACCAAAGACTGACACTGCAGCGTCACCTTGGACTCCTGTCCCACACACTTGTACCACACACTCAAGGTTCACCTGGGTCATCTTCACAGCTCCTCTTGCACCTGCTCTTTACTCTTCATTTCTTTCCAGCACCCCAATTCCAGCTCTTCTTATCTTTCTGGTGGGCTGCTGTCAGCCCATTTCCCCCATGGCATTCACCAGGGCTTCCACAATAACTTCCTAACAAAGGTCTGATCCCACTAGTTTGGTATTCAAAGCCTTCTGTGATTTAGCTTCCAAAATACTCTTTCACTTTCCCACCTTATCCTTTATGCACCCTACGCTGTTGTTGCTGAATCATTCCATATTCCTCATATGCGGCCTGTAATTTTTGGCCTCTGTGCCTTTAAGAGATGCTGTTCCAGAATGTGCTTCTCCAGCTTTCAACGTCCCAATCCTCTTGTCTTTAAAAACTGCCACTGTCAGGATTCCCAAACCTCAGCTGCAAGCAAGGTCCCTCCTCACCAACCCATCTGTGTAGCATTTTCACCTGTGCCTCTCTGATGACTCACGTGGCATCTTGTGTTATCTTCCTGCCTAGTCATGCCTGGCAGAGGAAGGCCACATCTGATCCATCTCTGAATCTCCCACAGCACCACGTGCTGCTGCGCTTTGAGGAGGGCAGGTATCTGCCAAGACCCAAATGAACTATTCTATAGACCCCTGAACACTCCGCCTCCCCTCAGACTCTGCTAAGGACAGTGAGAAATGCGTAAGAAGGTAACAGTTTGGTTTCCGATCTCTAGGAGCTTACATACAGCTCATTGTGGAGCTGAGGCTAACATACATTAGTGAATAAAAGGCAACAGAAGATAGGAACAGGATTATTGAGGATATACGATATACACATTCTAAGAAGTCAGAAGACAAGTTCCATTTTTATGAAACTAAGTTGGATCTGAGTAATAGGTTTATCTTGGATAGGTGAAAAGACAGGCATTCCAGGGGAAGGGAGTATTAGTGTTATAGGTACAGAAGCCAGAGCAAGTGTAGCTTGTCCATAAGGTCACGAATAAGCCTGTGGTAAGTAGGAAAGGAAAAGGCAGGGGCAGGAGAGGGAGATCTCATTCACCACGTTCCTGCTGATGCTAAGAACATGGCCTAAGTGGCCTGGAGGCATTATTCCACTTAATCCATACAACAACCCTGCAAAGTAGGTATTAGCACTGCCAGTTTCCTAAGCAAGGAGGCTGAGGCTCAAAGGGATTAAGTAACCGGCTAAGGTTACACAGGATTAGGTGGCAGAGCTGGGATCTGAAAAAGGCAGCCGGCTTCTGTTGCACCATGCTGTCTCTTCTACAGCAAAACGTCAGTATCATGGGGTGTTTTTTCAGGAAGAGGGACTTCTTCTATTTATAAATAATGCAAATTGTAAAGCAACAAGCATGATGCCTAATGTGTAGGGCTCAATACATGTTGGCTGACTCTGAATGCAAATCTGTCTACCTACAAAGAGAAGCAAGAAGGCTCCTCAACTGGATAAGGGCTCTGGGGAGAGGAGGGCGGCCCCAGGACTGGACAGTATCTCCAGACTAAGCACAAAGAAGGGATATAGACTAAGGAGTGTGGATTAATATCACCCTGCTCCAGTCCACTTCAGCTGCAGAGGAAGAAAACTAATCCAACTGAACGTAGCTTCGTTGTAATGAACACCCATCCTCAGAGGTGACGGACAAGAGAGGACGGAGGAAACATACTTGGTCTCGTTGGCACATCGGATCTTGCAGCCTTCCTTGGGAATCACCAAGCCCAGGTGCATTCGGAGCCTGCAGTTTGTGGGCCCCGTGTGAGGCCACACATGAGTTCCAGGGTGCATGATGGAATATTTGATCTGCGTAGAAAACACAACACTCTGTTCAGCCATTTATCAACATGTGGAGGAATTGCTAAATTAAAGTGACAGTACAACATTACTGTCCATTTGGATTACAGCCTTTGTAAGACTCCAAATTGATATTCACATTTTATTTCTTTGTGAAGGAATTAAAAATAAACACTCAACGTTTTCCACAAAGTGATAAACACTGAACATTTTCCACTCTCAATGCTGACGTCAACTACATAAAATTATGGTTTATTAAAAAGGGAGTGAAAAAGAGGCATTCATCCTGCCAAATGAAATAAGCATTTCTTTGAAAAGGTCAGCATGTCCTTATTCCTAACAACTCATCGTGTTCTCCCCAGCACTGGGACTCTTAGTACCTGTCCTCTTCTGCATCCTGTAGTCTCGGGGAACTTTTCCAGTAGAGTACAGGTTTTAGGAGCTCCCTTACAGGCATTTTCATTTTTTCTTCCTAGAATAATAATGATAAAATAATTGTTAGAAACAAATTGCAGTAAAGCTTTAACTGGCCCCCTTTGGACCATATGCGATCTACGTAGTCATCCTCAGGGTAGGAATGAGAAGGTTGAGTGAACACAAGACCAAGTGTCTTGTTCCCATAGATGGTGACTGACAGGGCAAGGGTCCCATTCTCCACTCAGTGCTGCACTATTTGACTTAGGATGTCTAAGGGACAAGGCATATGCTAAATACAGCTGACCTTTGAACAACGTGGGGGTTAGGGTTGCCCACCCTTGCACAGTTGAAAATTCGTGTATGACTTTTGACTCCCCCAAAACTTAACTACTGATAGCCTACTGTTGACCGGAAGCCTTACTGATAACATAAACAATTGACACACATTTTGTATGTTATATGTATTATCTACTGTATTTTTATAATAAAGTGAGCTAGGAAAATGAAAATGTCATCAAGAAAATCTTAAGGAAGAGAAAACACATTTACAGTGCTGTGCTGTATTTATTGATACCGTAAGTTCATGTCACCTGTTTACAAGATGGGCCATCTGTCTGAAATGTGGGCAACTGCAGCTGCAGACCTCTACCTATGGTACACATTCAGCAATTCAGCCTCTTCCTGTAATGTCATGACTTTTCTCTGTTTCTTGTGAGAACTTCCAGCATCATCACTAGTGGCACTTCGTATGGGTCCCATGGTGTTACTAAAAATCTATGGTACTTGACTAAACACAAAGAAAAATATGCAAGAACTGTGAGAGATCACTTTTTACTGCAATATGCAATTTACAGGAGAGATGAACTGCTCACGTAGAGATGATTAGCGTCACAGGGAGTTTTAAGTGGATATGCGTAACATTTGAGCTCATTGCAATAGCAACAGGAGGTGGCTATGAAATTATTACAGAAGTATAGTATGTGCCACAATTAATTTTATGCAGTTACAATTTAATACTGCCTCTTTATCCTTGTTTACATTTCTTTCGACTGCAAATGGCACCATGTATAGTCTGTGTTTGTGTAAGTTTTCATAAATTTTAACTTTTTCTAATAGATTTGTGTATATTTTATCGTAGTAAATAATAAAATAGACTAGTATCTACATATATTTTATGCATTTATATTTAATTTTTTCTTAATTTTTTGATGTTCTAGGCTACAAGTTTCATCTGTAAGTTTTTTCCAATTGTTACAAATCTCCAAACAAATTTCCTATATATTTATTGAAATGTGCATATAAGTGGACCCATTCACTTCAAACCTATATGGTTAAGGGTCAATTGTATTAATTTTTTCCCCTGTGGCAGGCAGAATAATGGCCCCTCCCAAAGATGTTCACACTCGAATCCCAGGACCTGTGAATATGTTACCTTTCATGCAAGGGGGAATTAAGGTTGCAGACGGCATTGAGATTTCTAATCAGCTGACCTTAAAATAAGGAGATTATCTAGGATTAATTGGGTGGGCCCGATGTAATCACAGTGTATGTAAACGTGAGAGGAGGAGGCAGAGGAGTTAGTGTCCAAGTGATATAGAATGAGAAAGACCCGATGGGTTATTGCTGGCTTTGGAGATGGAAGGGGCCGTGAGCCAAGGAAGGTGGGCAGCCTCTGGAAGCTGGGCCCGCAGAAGAAATGTAGTCCTGAAGATACTTTTATCTTCAGATAAAAGTGAGACCCCTTGCAGACTTCTGACCTCCAGAACTGTTAAGATAATAAATGTGCTTGTTTCAGCTACTAAATTGTGGTAATTTGTTATAGCAGCCACAGGAAACTAACAATATCCTCAGGAAGGAAAATAGCTTATATTTCTAACCTAAAATGCATTTCTAGGACTATATTAAAGAGTTACCAAAATATTATTTTTAATTGGAATGTAATATCTCTTTCAATGTCCAGGTCATCCTTTATAAATTTATAAAGAGTAAGATTTAAATAAAGAGGGGGAGGAGCTTTTTGAGAGGATGACCGTATCAGGAACATAGATTCTGGGATGTGTCTTCAGCTTTGTGGACTATGCAAATTTCTTCACACTCTATAAAGGCCCTGTTTATTAGGAAGGATGTGCTCAGAATGGATACGGCATCATTTGTTCTCATGGGGGAATAAAACAATAGATTTTTTAAAAGGCAAAAACATTGTATTTCCTTATTTAAGATTCCTACAAGGGACTGCTCCATCTAAAACTGAATTTAATTTTTTTTAAATTAATGTTAGTCATGTCCTAAGATAATCATATATTGAGAATAAAATGAGTTACAAAAAATGCAACTTAAAGGTATTTGCCTCAATCAAATGTAGCTTGACATTTGAGAAAACAGCTTTTTCTAAGTAATCTTTTCACCTCTTAATTGAGTAAAATGTTAGTCACTAATTTTCATTATTAATGGAGTACTCCAAATGAATCGAACGATAAATGCCGGTTTGGATGAATATCACACAAACACACACATAAGCCATCGTAAAGCATTTTAAACGCTGGCTTTCCATGCCTTCCCCTACGCAGGGTCTGCTGGGCAGGAGCCCCTGATTCTGGGTTCTGTGCTGTTCAGGCAGCAGTTAAGTGAAGCCTGGTGGCTTGAGGACTTGCCACAAGCACAGTGGTGAGGGCTGAGCATATGCCACTTGGGGAAAAGGTGTGCCTTACCTGAGTGATAGGTAATGGATGGGTAACTGAACAGATTGTGGCACTAAGATTTTCACTTGCTCAGGACTAGATGACAGAGCACTTCTAGCCCTTTAGACATACATATTTTTTTCTAGTCTGATTTTCTGTAGGGGAAAAGCTGTGCCATAGATGGCTGACATTCACGGATTGCCACTGGTAGTTTTAAACCACTCGCACGTGATCATGAGGGTCCAAGGAAAGCAACAACAGTTCCATGGTGCTCACCATGGGCCGGGATCTGCTCTGCAGGCTTACAGTAACGCATCTGATGTCCACAGCACCCAGTAAGGGAGGCACTATTAGCGCTGTATTTTATGGAAGGGCGACTGAGGCATAGAGGGGTCACATAGTAAGTGGCATAGTGAGAATTCCAACCCAGCCGGACTGGACCCAGAGTTCACACTCTTAACCAGGACTGGGACCACCTCTCTGTTACTGTCATTATTACATAATGTGCTCTTCTTATGTAGTAAAAATGTATTAATGTATATTGGGTAATTGTGTGTCAGATTGTTGTCTAGTGCTCATTGATCCTAGTACCAATCCCATACTTAAGGCACTATTTCCATGGCCATTTTTCAGATGAGGAACTTGGGGCTCAGGGTTTCAGGAACATGCCACATCACACAGCTAACAAGCAGGATCCGGACTCTAACCTAGAACTGTTGGTTTCCAAAGCCTATGCTTTAAAGTATAATTTCTCATTCTGTTGCATCAGGGATTAGAAGGCAGCTGTGCAGGAGCAAACCTGTTAACGCAATGTGAGGAGGAATGCCCAGCATCTATGACTCGATGGCTTTGTTGTTGTTTATTATTTCTCAGCAAGTTTAAAGTAACTCTGAAGAAGTAGTAAACTTTGTTTCTTTGGGAAATGGCCTGGGAAAGAGATCTAACTGCTACTGAAAATGTGAAAGAATCATTTGAATATATCATTTACATGTGAATATACATTTATGAGGGATATTCATGGAGCTGGGGGCCTGGGTTGTATCTTTCTTAAGTTTCAAGGCTCTACTGCTGGGGTGACAATAGGTTCCACTTTCCATGACAACTCTGATCAATTGATAGTGGCTGCCTACAAGGCTATGTTGAGGAGGATTTGGAGGTCCAGCTTCAGCTCATTCTGGAAGGCTACTGGGATTGGTTAGCACCATTTTCCATGGCATGGGCTCTAGAAGAAAAAATGACCGCACATGTGTGGCATAGTTGAATCATTGCTGGTGACAAGCATTAAAATGTGAACAAAACAGATGTTCCATAATATGTCCACACAGCAATTTTAAAACATATTTGTGGAGACAAAAAAATCATTATTTATATTTGCTGATTCTTTTTTTTTCCCCCTCAACTCCAAAAAGCTGATCCTTTAAAAAGGAACACAGCTGAGTACTTATTAAACTACTTGGAGACTTTTTCAGTTTGCTAGGGCTGCTGTAACAAAACACCACAGACTGGGTGGCTTAAACAACAGAAATTTATTTTCTCACAGTTCTGAAGGCTGTAAGTCCAAGATTAAGGTGTTGGCAGGTTTCGTATCTTCTAAGGCCTCTCTTCTTGTCTTGCAGAAGGCCACCTTCTTGCTGTGTCCTCATATGTCCTTCTCTTTGCACGCACATCCCTAGTGTCTCTTTCTCTTATAGGGACATCAGTCCTATTGAATTAGGAACCCACCCTTATGACCTCATTTCATCTTAACTACCTCCTTAATGGCCCTATCTCAAATACTGTCACACTGGGGGTTAGGGCTTCACCATACGATTTTTTGTGGGGACATGATTGTGTGCATAGCAGAGACCTACCACGATTTCACTTCTCATTTGGATACAAACAAAACTTCCAGCCACAGCTTCAGGTCTTCAATTACCCAGCAGCACGCTTTCCTCACTAGACTTAGACAACCTTTATATCTTTATTAAGCCAGACGTTCACTGCCTCTCTGCCTGGATTTGAGCTCTCAATGCTGCCAAGCAAACTGGCCTGCTGCCTGCCCCTCACCCCACCAGGTTTCCCCCCGCCCTGTCCCTTCCATTCCTGGATTCTCTCTCCTCTATTTCTGAGCCACAGCACCTGAGATGGCATCTACCTTCTGGGATTCCATCCTGCTTCCATGTAAGCTATGATTGTAAAATTGTGCTTAGTTACTGGATTTCCCCCCTAGAAGCCTGGAACCACAAACAAAAGGCCCAGAACCTTAACGAATCTTCCCCAAAGAGAAACTATGCATGTTATATTCTTTTATGACAATAGAACTAGAAATTAATTTTAAAAGTTGAAGCAACTGCACAGATTGGAAAACACATGCTTATCACACACACGGACACACATA